GAGGTGGATTTTATAGGTAGAAATAATCAAATAACACCCATTTCATATAAAAAAAACGATGAAAAAATAAGACAGTCGATCAACGATCTTTTGTTGTCTTATTGCTTTCCTCCCAACACGGTCACGCCTTCGCATTCCAATCAACATGAGACTCACTCCTACTACACTCAAATAAATACCACAGAAATCTTGCTTTCAATTATCCAACCATCAAATGCAAATCATCATTTGGCGGCAGCGTCAGCCACAGTAACACGACGAGCGGCCTGAGCAAATTTCCTGAACTCCACAAGCTTTTCAGGTTCCGGCAGCGCCTCCTTGGCGGCGTCGACGGAACGGAAGCATTCCGCCCACTCAACCAATCGTGGAGTCTTCGTCTCATCCAGAAAATTTGTTCCCGTTATAATTTCGAAAGCTTGCAGCCAACTAAGGAAGGAACCGAGGGTAATGTCGACCAAGTTGATGGTATCCCCGCCGAAGAAGCTCTTCCCCTTACTGCACTTAACAAAAGCCTCTTCTAACTGCAGCAGTGCGGCTAACAGTTGCTCCTTCGCTTCTGCTATGCTCTCCTCTTCGTTACTCCGGACCAACACTCGATTATGAGGAGCTATCTGCCAATAAGGGAAAATATAAGAAGTCGTCATAATAATTTAAACAAATAGGTGGTTGAAAACCAGTTTCAATACAATTTTATCATTTTCATTTCCATTAAGATTTTCATTTCCTCGCCTCTAATTCCTTAAATCCAAACGCAGCTTGAAGGTAATTTCTTTTCATTACAGATATGTACAATAAGTACCTTGCTGTCAACATAGGCAGCCCAGAAGCGAGCGATGGCGCGATCGTAGGGATCGGCGGGGAGGATGGAAGGGCCGGAAGAAGCCCAAACTTGGTCGATGTACTCCACAATAATAAGGGACTCGCAGACGGGCTTATCTCCATGGATGAGAACGGGGACCGTCTTGTAGACCGGATTGGACTTGAGAAGAAGCTCGCTTTTGTTAAACAAATCATCTGCGAGGTACTCGTATTCGACCCCCTTCAGATTGAGAGCAATCATTGCCCTCGTCACGTAGGCGCTCGCCCAGACGCCGATCAGCTTCACCTCGTCTTGTTTCGCCATTCTCTTTGTAGATCCGAAAGTAGTTTCAAATTTAGCAAGGATGATTTGGATTCCTTCAGCTGAGCTTGACGGGTATTTAAAGCTCGAATGCATAACAAAGGTCTCCCATTTCCGGTATTAATTAACATTTTCCACTGTAAACGTGAGCGATGACGTCGATAAGCAGGTAAATCTGGACTAGCACGTAGATTGCGGTTCATAGTTTTGCTTTCTTGCGGAAAAGTTTGCATAGAATCTTAGAAGGGGAAATTTTTAAAAGAGCAAAGTTCATCATTGTTTTAAGAATAGGAGCATATAAATAAAAAAATTTAAAAAGGAGCAGAAAGA